GCAATTAGACAAGAGAAAGAAATAAAAGGAATAAAGATAGGAAATGAAGAAGTCAAATTATCATTATTTGCAGATGACATGATACTCTAAATAGAAGGCCCCAAGAACTCCACCAAAAGTCTTCTAGACTTAATAACCAAATTCAGTAATGTAGCTGGATACAAAGTCAACACACAAAAATCAATAGCTTTCCTCTACACAAACAATAGAGTCATTGTGAGAGAAATAGGACAAACAACTCCTTTCACAATAGCATCCAAAAAACCTGCAATACCTAGGAATCAACCTAACAAAAGAAATCAAAGATTTTTACTCTGAAAACTATAGCATTCTGAAAAGAGAGATTCAAGACGATATCAGAAAATGGAAAGACATCCCTTGCTCTTGGGTAGGAATAATCAACATAGTGAAAATGGCCATACTTCCAAAACTGCTATATAGATTCAATGCAATCACAAATGATATTCCAGCAGCATACTTCACAGACCTTGAGAAAGCAATCCAAAAATTCATTTGGAATAAGACGAGGTCTAGAATGGCAAAAGCAATTCTAGGCAACAGAGGCATGGCAGGGGATATCACAATCCCCAACTTGAAACTATACTACAAAGTTACTGTGATAAAAACAGCATGGTACTGGCAAAGAAACAGACCTGAGGACCAGTGGAATGGATTAGAAGATGCAAAAATAGGGCCGGGGATTTAGCTCAGTGGTTCCACTGCCTGCCTTGCAAGTGGAAGGACCCGAGTTCTATCCCCGGTACCAAAAAAAACAAAAAACAAAAATAAAAGATGCAAAAACAACTCCAGACACACTCAGCCACTTCATCTTCAGCAAAGGAGCCAAACACCCTCACTGGAGGAAAGATAGCCTCTTTAATAAATGGTGCTGGAAAAATTCAACTTGCCAGAGATTTAAATTAGACCTATATTTCTCACCATGCACTAAACTAAAATCAAAATGGATTAAAGATCTAAATATTAAAACAGAAACAGTGAACCCGCTGGAACAGAGATTAGGTAGAAATCTTGAAGACATTGGTGTAGGAAAAGATTTTATGAACAAAACCTCAGTTGCCCGTGAACTAGCACAAACAATCAATTAGTGGGATCTCTTCTTATTAAAAAGCTTCTGCCCAGAAAGAGAAACCACCAACAATGTGAAGAGACAACCCACAATGTGGAAAAAAATTTTCACCTGCTGTTCCTCAGACAAAGGTCTACTGTCTATAATCTATAAAGAACTTAAAAAAACAGACCTCTCAAATTTAAGACCCAATCCAAAAATGAGCATCTGAAATGAACACATATTTCTCAGACAAATAAGTGGAAATATCAAATAAACATATGATAGAATGTTTACCATGACTGCTCATTTGAGAGATGCAAATGAAAACAATGCTGAGATTTCACCTCACACCACAAAGAATGGCTGCTATCATGAAAGCAACCAATAACAAATGCTGGTGGGGCTGTGGGGAAAGAGGAACCCTGCTCCACTGCTACTGGGAGTGTAGACTGGTGCAACCACTGTGGAAATCAGTATGAATATACCTCAAGGAACTAGGATTAGAGGTCGCATTTGACCCAGCTGCTCCCCTGCTGGGTATCTTCTCCAAAGAATTAAAAGAATGATACCAGAGTGATAATATGTGCACCCATGTTCATAGCAGCACAATTTGTAATAGCTAAGACTTGGAAGCAGCCCAATTGCCCATCAACTGG